TAAACCTAATCATAAAATCCAAATAAAATTGGGGAACTAATGCATTTTCATCTTAAAATCCTTGGCTAGTAAAACCTTAAAATTCAGTTTCTTGGCAATTGATTCTAGCTTGCTCATGATCATAGAAGCTGAACATTTGGACTTAAAAAGATATCTTGATTTCCTCCTCCCCTCGAACAAACTCGACAAATCGAACCCCGACAACATTGATGATATAATAATTGAATAAGGAGTCAAAAAAAAAAAAAAAAAAAAAAAACCTGTTTTTCTTTGGTTTGAAAGCAATCAATTTGTGGATGATTTCTCGATTTTTTCCCAAGCTTCAATAATGAACGAATTTGTGGATGATTTCCTCTTTCTCCTTCAGATTTCCCCCCTTTTTTTCCCAATTTGGAGGCTGGTTTCGTTGATGCTGTAATCTTCCATGTTTGAGTGTATTTCTTACGTTAATTTTTACCTAATTACCACCTAATCCAAGTTTATCATATTTTTTTCAAAACTGTCCCAAAATATAGAGTATTTGTGTAAGTACCCCATAAAATATTCTACACACAAATCAATAAAATTAATTTAAATTTTAACCACACATTCTCCAAAAAATACTATTCATTACTTTATTTTTCTCTCAATAATTGGAGACAAACACACCTTAAATGCAACAAATAATAACATTTAGCCCCTATTTGCTCTATTATTTTATCTAAAAAATTAAGTTATTGTTTGAGTCTCATTTGATCAAAATTCATTTTCAATCACACATTCTTTAATAAAATAATTTTTATACGTAAATCGAAAATTTTATTATTTTTTAACCACTCATTCTTTAAAAAATACTATTTTAAAATGAATTATGATGCATAAACATGCTCAATGATAGAGATTAAAAATAAGGGGATAAGTAGCGCAACATCATTGGATATTTTGAAAAAAAAAAAAAAATTTAGCTGACGTAGCACTTGTCCATGTCCCTATTTGCTGAGCTTGTTTGAGTAACATTATTTTTTTCTAAAATATACTTTTTTTTTTCAAAATGAGGCTCAAACAATGGCTATTGTTTTGTGGAAATTTATTTTTAATTAAAAGTTTTCACAATAAATATTTTGTAAGTAAATTCAAATTTTTTTTCTGTTTTTAATTACATATTTTCTAAAAATTCACTATTGTAAAATTTATTTTCAACAAAAAAGGGGTTCAAACATAGGATTTGGACCATTTAGATCTGGAACAAATTTTATAAATAATTTTTATTTTTCTGAAAATGTGTAATTAAAAATAAAAAAAATTATGAATTTATGAATAAATTATTTATTGAAACAATAAATACTTGAAAATGAATTCGGAAAAAAAAAAAAATTTGAAAATGAGAATTCAATGAAAAAAATAATTGTCAATTCAATATTTATAGCTTGTTTGGGAGGGATTTTTAGAGGAAGAATTGATTTTGAATAGTGATATGATGTGAAATGTGTGATTGAAAAAGAAGAAAATATTATTGATGTGATGGAAAATATTATTTTATTTAAAAATGTGTGGTTGAAAATGAGAATTGATTTACTGTAAAATTTTGAGAATCCCTCCCAAACAGGGCCTTAATACATTTGGGATTTTTGGGGGAAGAAATGATTTTGAATAGTGATATGATGGAAAATGTGTGGTTGAAAAAGAATTATTGATATGATGGAAAATATTATTTTATTGAAAAATGTGTGGTTGAAAATGAGAATTAATTTACTATAAAATTTTGAGAATCCCTCCCAAACAGGACCTTAATCGTTAATAAAACTTTTCCAATATCTTTGACCAAAAAAAAAAAAAAAGAATAAACATTTTAAACGTCACTTTAAATTTTCTTTATTTTCTTTATTTTTAATTTTTTTTATCGCTCGTACTTATTATTCCAAGATTTGTCTTTTTTGCAGTTACCCACCAAGTCATTTTCTTCATCCTTCCACAAAACGCTCTCCCCCTTCTCGCCCACGGTCCCACCCCAAATACGCCGGGCCGCCGGCCAAAAGCCAGTGAATAAACTAAAGATTTGGACAAGAATATGGTGATCCTTTCTCTCTCATCTTCTTTTTCTTCGTACAATAACAAACACTGTCTCGGCCTAAAATCTCTCCAGTCTCATCAAACTAGAGTTTTATTTGACACTCGGAAACAATCCATTAGCTCAATCAGCTATAACCCATTGAGGTTGAGTATAGTTATGAATTCAAGAAATGATTTTCTTTGGTTTTGTTTAAGGATTATATTCTGTGGTGTGTGTTGCAGAGACGTTGGTAAAAAGACGACGATGATTAAGAAACGACATGGGTTTGGTGCGGTCTGTTACTCTGGGCCACTAACGCCTCGGAATCTCCAATGGGTCTCCACTATTTCTTCTGCGTATGTTTACTATTAGATTCTAATTGTTTTATTCATATTTCTTGATTCTTACGGCGAAAAAGAAAGAAGCTATCTTGAATCCATGTAGTTTTTTGGTCGAGATTCGGGATTATCCAACTATTGATGGAATGTAAAATCTTTTTCTAAATGAAGCATTTAATTTCAATTTCTAGACTTAACATGCCAAGAAAAGATCATATTATAGAAATTAACAAAATTATTTTTCAGGGTTCTAATGCTGGCGAGGGGCACAGCCATTCACAAACCCTTTCTTGCACCTTTATTTGCCCTACAAGCTCCTGCAAGCATTGTCTCATGGATTAAGTAAACCTTTCAATTTATCATAGTCTGGGTTCTATATTATGAATTACTTGTACTTGGTAATTGTATTCAAGATCAATTTTCTGTTGTAGAGGCGAGTATGGCATTTGGACTGCTTTCTTGGCACTTCTCGTTCGTCTTTTCTTCTTCATTCCTGGTAGGATATTTCTATTGATCAAGTACTTAATTCTGTTAATTTCTCCAAATTGTTTGTTTGTGTTGGCGGCTTGTAAGAAATTATACTAAAGTAAGGTTCTTGAGTGGACAATCATTCTTTGTGTGTGAGCTTCCTCAGTTTAGAATATGGGGGTTCAGCAAAGTTCAACAGTGTCTTGAGAAATGTCCTACGAGATCCCCGTTTAGCAAACAAAGAAGAAATCAACTGGGTCAAGTTTCATAATCGAAACATAAATAGAATGTTATGGTATAGTGGATTAGATAGCATTGGACTGGGAGAAACACAAAAAAGCTAAAATCTTGTCAATTTTGGTGTCCAGTTCTACCTACTGAACGTAAGCTAGAATCAAATTATTAAATAAACTCCCCTTAGAAGTTTCCAAAGCCCTGATTATATGCGGTCGAGGCATCATGATTTTGTCTGCGTAATGTCGTCTCTTAAACTGTGTTGATAACTTCGTTTTTCCTTTTCTACTTATCTGATATTGACTTTTCTGTAATTTTAGGTGAATTGGAGTTTCCATTTATAACATTGCTACTGATAATTGTGTGTCCTTACCAAATTACGAGGCTGAGGTTAGTCGATCCATTATGTACAGTCAACTAAACTGTGTACTTATTTGAACTAATTTCGTGTTTCATTTTCTTGTTCATGGCAGGGGAACACAGGAAGGTGTTATTTTTTCATTGCTAATAGCGGCTTATTTGGCTTTCCAGCATTTTTCAAGAGCCGGCAGTTTGAGGAAAGCATTCGATCAAGGTTCAATCATAGCCACCTTAGCCACAATCTGTATTGTTGCTGTGCCGTGCTTGCTGTTGATCTAATGATTTTTAGGAACGACTGTTTTACTCATTTTCTTTAAATTATTGACCTCATTTGTACTGTGTTTTAGATTAATGAATGTGATGCAATTTACTTAAGACCGTTTGCTTCTAACTGTTGTACAGATAAATATTGTGCAACAGCTAATCTTATAATTTACTTTTATAGTCCTACCATAATAAATGTTATAGCAGCATTTTGGGGGTGGCCCTGCCAATGTCCTCTGTCCAAGAATTTTTAGCATCTTTTTGCTCAAAGATTTGAAACCATTTATTTGCCAATTTCATGAAGCGAAGTGCCACAATTTGCAGTACGAGTCAATACAAAATTCCACCAAATTGAAGATATTGATAAACCAACAAGAATAAATAAAACCCACACAATCCAAAAGCCATAAATTCAATGCTATGCAAACCGAGGCAAATGTTCAACATTATGTTTTTAAGATGAATTTGTTCCGCAACGGTGCTAATGGAGTCTTAGCAATCGTCTTAGAGGATACAATGGTTTCTCCTTGTGGTAGAAGCACTTCAAACTTCAAAGCAACGACAAACTAGAAACATAAATTTCTCTCTACTAAAACAATGAATTTTTATGCAAGAAAACAATGTTTTGGAAGTGTTTTGATGCAAAGCAATCGACGAAAAAGATATGGAATGATTTTGAACCGTTTCCAATTTATAAAACATGAGGGGTTGTGGTCGGAGAGACACGCCCTAAAATTCAACATGTTCCAAGAAGGGACGCAGCCCTTTAGGTCGCTCACGGCCGCCTATCATGCCGCTCAAGCACCCACATCAATAACACCATTGCTCAATGTGCGCTAGGAAATTGCTCGAATGACAGTTCTATATGAGCAAAACTCAATTTTTCTTTATATCTTTGTACGACAATTTCTCATTCACTCGGAGTTGGTTTTGAGATTCCAAATATACTACAATCATCTACTCATCGACTTAAACAAGTTAGTGTATTCACTTGCGTGATCTGACTGTCGAACCTATTGAATATTTGGTCGAAGTTGATACAAAATCAACTTTTATTGATTTTTCTTAACCGAATTCCAACAGATTCTTTTAGTGGGAATCAAAGAATGGCTAGTGGATAGACAAACTGCTTTGATGAATACGACGAGCTAGTAATCATTGACATGTTAAACTCAACTTTGTTACTTGGGATTGCCCATACTCAAATACCATATATGTAGACCACTTTCATGGAAAGTCTCTTCTTCTTTATTCCTGGTAGGATATTTTCTTGATCTACATAATCTAAGTACTTAGTTCAGCATAGTTCTCCAAATTGTTCGTTGATCTAATTAGAATTTTCTTTTTGTGGTTTGTGAATTATTATACTCGAGTAATGCTAGTGGACAGCCACATGTGCTAACTTGCTTCCTTATACATAGGGTGTTCAGCAGAGTTCAAACCATCTTAAAAAATGTCTTAGGAAATACTATTTTCGGGAACAAAGTAGATAAAATGAGTCAATTTGTATACTCATAACATTAATGACGTTTGAAAAAGTAGATTAGATAGCGCTGTACAATACCATTGAAGGAAAAAGAAAGGCTAAAATCTTGTCAATTGTAATGTTCTACCAAGCATACTCTAAACTGCAATGTTGAGGTTAGAACACCAAAATCAGGCCTTAGAATCAAATTATAAAAAGAGAAAAGAACAAATAAACTACAAGCCTATTTGGTACAGATTCTCATTTTCTACAGTAAATCAATTCTCATTTTCAACTGCACATTCTTCAATAAAATAATATTTTCTATCACATCAATACTTTTTTTCTTTTTCAACCACACATTTCCCATCATATCACTGTTCAAAAATCAATTATTCCCCCAAAAATTCCCACCAAACACACTCTACCTTTAAAAGTTTCCAAAGCCATGATTATTTGCTGTTGAGAGCATCATGATTTTGTCTGCATAATCTCGTCTTTTCAGCTGCATAGATAACTTCTTTTTCTTTTCGACTTATGTAATATTCGCTTTTCTGTAATTTTTAGGTGAACTGGAGGTTCCATTTATAACATTGCTATTGATAATTGTTTGTCCTTATCAAATTATGAGGCTGAGGTTAGTCCATTCATTGTAGACAATCGACAACGCTTTCTAGTTTCTAATTTGAACCAAGTTCGTGTTTCATTTTCTAGTTCATGGCTGGGGAAAACAGGAAGGTGGCACAATTTCAATGGTAATAGAGGATTATTTGGCTTTCCAGCATTTTGCAAGAGCCGGCAGTTTCAGGAAAGCATTTCATAGGTTCAACCTTAAGCACGATTTTGTATTGTTGCTGTCCCCGTGCTTGCTCTTGATCTAACTAACGAGTTTTAGGAATGCACATTTGTACGTGGTTTTAAATTAACGAAGGTGAAGCATTTTACTTAAGAGAGAGACCATTTGCTCGATTATCTGTTGGACATATAACTCATCTTAGAATTTACTTATGTAGTTCTATCAGATAATAGTGGCAAACACCTTTCTTATCAGGTCACATTATCGTCAACTTTATACCAATTTGGCAATTACTGAACTGTATCTGTCAATTTATGTTTGTAATGATGAACTTAGCAGTGTTCATTGGTCAGTTCCTGAATAATTTGTCTCTTCAATGAATAACCCTAACACCATATATTCTTGTCTAAAATTTTCATTAACAGCAGAAGCTATGAAGAACCACTACATTATTATGTACTTCACTATCCCCTTGCTTCCTACTTGATCTAACACCATACACCGACAAAACTGTTCGGTGAAGGTCTTGAGATTTATGTCTAGCCCTCTCTCTCCGTCCCAGTATTTTGCGGGGCATAGATTCTGCCTAGTAATGGTCATCTCATTTGGGAAATACTACCAAACTTGATCTTCCCTTGTTTAGAGATAATTGGCTGTTGAGACCAATATCACGAGACAACTTGAGGTGAACAGCAGCAGTAGGTTGCGTCCTATGGTCTCTGCTGAACTGGGGGTACCTGTTGGCCCATAATCATAGCCTGTTGGTTCTGAACCGAAGCCACCTCCTTGTCCGGGTGCGTAAGGACTGAATGGTGTAGTTATGCTGCAACAAACGATTAGTTCATGGACATCGGTTGTACTTGAAATTATCAGATTAAAGTAGTATAATGAATTTACCTAGGTGGAGTGGTTGGAATTGTGGTTGGTGGTGTTGGAATTGTGGGTGGTGTTGTTGGAGTGTTATTGGGAGATGCATACCGACAGCTCCCATGACCTGAAGCAATAAGACGAAGAAGTTGAAACTTTCATCAGTATATGGATTCAATTATATGGGTCTGAAATAGATATGCTGCATCAAATTGGAAGTACTACTTGTTTTTGTGTGGATGACAGAACTACTTACATGTATAAAAGAAAATTTATTTCATACAAGTTGCAAACCGTAGAAGAAAGAGGTTATAAATTCTTTGTAGTACTCGTAGAATCATTTTTTGTTGGTTACTTTTTCTCTTAATCGTTCTTAGTTAATAAATAAAGAGGTTGTGGGAGAATTTTGTAACCTGTAAAGTCATGTTATGGTGTACTATTTTCTGCCTATAAGCACGATGATATAAAGTGAATTCTCCAAGGTAAAGGATTATTTTCGACTAAAACAATGGCAGTCAATAACTTACTTGGGTCGGTATTAGTAATCTGTGCTGTTCCTCCAAAAACACAGCTAGTGGGAGCCGGATTCTTCTGATAGTAGTCGTTGAACGCATAAGAAGCATGATCACGAACTGTGTTAGGATCATAGCAACTTGCGCCTGATTGAATTGTTGAACAGTCTGCTCCTCCAAAACCACAGGCGTAGTCAAGAGCAACCTGTAAAGCTGTTTCTGAAGCACTGGGGTTGGCTATGCACCAAGAACCACCTGATGATGCAGGAGAGGTGGTTGTTGGTCCTGTGGGGGTTGCTGGTGGTGTTGGGCTCGTTGGATTCACGATAGGTGATGTACCTGGAGTTGTTGGGCTCGTTGGATTCACGATAGGTGATGTGCCTGGAGTTGTTGGATTGACAATAGGAACGTCTCCAGGACTTGTATCTGTCTGAGCTGTGCTTATATCTGAAGCAAATGAACATTTCAGAAGAGGTAAATGAAAATATTAGATCAAAGCTGAAGAAAGTACACAATTACCTGAGATAAAAATAACGAAGAACAAGAGAAAGAACGTCAAATGCAGACGTATTCTGGGATCCATAACTCTAGCCGTCTGAGCAATGGTATTTCGCTTCGTTGCCTGATACAATGCTAAGACATGCGAGGTTTATGAAACAAGAGAAGCCGGAATGTCGTATTAGAGAATGAACCATCTCTTTGCTGCAATAAGTTTATATAAAAAGTGTGAAGAATCATAGCTTTCTTGCATTGAAGATAGAATGAAAGAGAGGTTGTTGTTGGGGAATATAAGAAACTTAAGAAAGGAGGAATTGGATAATTGGAAACTGCAAGCAAGAAGAGGTACCTCCCTGGATTGAGAAACAATTGTTATGAAGAGGAAAAGGCAGCAAACAGGGAATCTTTGTTAGGACAAAATCTGATATATGTTGATCCACTTGTATATATTGTTATCTTCTCTCTTTTTTGCCTGTCTTTTCATGTACATAGGACTTGCTCAAAAGCTAAAGGTAGGGAGAGAAAAGAAAAAATATTTCAAACGATATCTAGTTGGTATGAATCTAAAAGGAAAACACTTGTCTTGTTCTTTACCTTTGGATAGTCTATTTTGGAAGCATGTTTGGTTATGCTTAAAATTAAGTTGATTTACTTTTAAGTAAGTTGGTTGAATAATTTTCTAGAAAAGTAACTTTCAAGCATTATTAGATCATTCCAAAATTTAGCATTGGATTATTATGGTGAGGGTAAGAAGGGAAAGGTGGACAGGCCGGAAGGGGAAGGGGTTGAATGGAGAAGATGAAATATAGATTTTTTAATATCGTTTTATGAGAATAGTTTCAAGTATAACATATTTTTTTACCAGAAAAACAGAGTA